TCCTTAAGGCTTTCACGCTGGTCAACGGCTCAGCCAAGCAGGGCAGGAGGTCAGCCTGTGGGGCAGCGGGCAGGCAGCCGGCCCCTCGCCCTGGCAGGGAGTCACGGCGGGCGCAGGGCAGCCACGTTGGCGTGGGCGCAAGCAGCCAGGCGCAGGAACCTCTTCGGCATCCGCAGACAGCCCTTCTGCTTCTACGGCGTCTAGATCATCCACTGATCCTGGTCTGGTTCTGCCCCCTCCATGTCCACCTGGGGGGGGGAGAGAAAATGGAGGGACCCTTAGAAGGGAATTGCAGCTGCAAGGCAATTCTGTAGGGCAGGGGTCTCCAGGCTGGGCAACTTTAAGACTTGTGGACTTCAATTCCCAGAAGTCCTTAACCATGGGGAATTCTGGGGGTTGAAGTCCCAGTCTCCCAAGTCTTAGAGCGGCCCAGGTTGGAGACCCTTGGTGTAGACCCCCCCCCAGCTCTGCCCCTAGCAGAGAGCAAACTTTGGCACAGGCCCCCGGCCTAATTCTGCCTCCCTAGCACTTCCCTGCATTCATAACCTCAGGAATGGGCCCATCACCAGGAGACGGTGAGTTCTAGTCCCGCCTTGGGCATCAAAGCCACCTGGGTGACTTTGGTCCAATCACCAGGAGACGGGGAGTTCTAGTCGCGCCTCAAGCACGAAAGCCAGCTGGGTGACTTTGGGCCAATCACCAGGAGACAGTGAGTTCTAGTCCCGCCTTAGGCATGAAAGAGAACTGGGTGACTTTGGGCCAATCACCAGGAGACGGGGAGTTCTAGTCCCGCATTGGGCATGAAAGCCAGCTGGGTGAATTTAGACCAATCACCAGGAGACGGTGAGTTCTAGTCCCGCCTTAGGCACGAAAGCCGGCTGGGTGACTTTGGACCAATCACGAGGAGACGGGGAGTTCTAGTCCCGCCTTAGGCATGAAAACCAGCTGGGTGACTTTGGGCCAGTCTCTCCCTCTCTCTCTCACTCCATCCCACCTCACAGGGAGGTCGTTGTGGGGAAAATAGGAAGACAATTGGAGATTGCTACCTTAGTTATTGGTAAAAATAAGAAAGGGGGACACAAATAATTGATAGATAAATAAATAAAAACAAGGTCGGGCGTTTTATCTCTGCCTGGCCCCGAATGTCCACCAGCCCAGGGCTTGTCCCACAGGACGCCCTGGGCTCCTAAGCAGGCCGTAAAGCGGGACAAATTCTCAGCGGCCCAACCTCGTTAATCTCGCCGTCGTCCGGAGACTCGTTGTAGTCGTTCATCTCGTCCATGTCCTGCATGTCCTCATCGTCCTCGGAGTCCTCCTCGCTGTCCTCGTCATCCTCATCATCTTCTTCCTCCTCCTCGTCATAAGTCTGCTAAGGCAAAGCGGAGAGGCGGCCATCGTCAGAGAGCCCTGGGGGCACAGCGGTCGGAAGGCGGCATTGCAGGCCGACTCCGCCTTCCCATGGCCGGCAGTTCGATCCAGACCGGCTCAGGGTCCACTCAGCCTTCCAAAGCCAGTCAAATGAGGACCCAGATTGTTGGGGGGGGGCATAGGCTGACTCTGAAAACCGCTTAGAGAGGGCTGTAAAGCACTGTGAAGCGGTGCTTTACAGCCCTCTCTAAGTGCTATTAGTAAGCGGAAAGGGAAGGGAAAGGAAGGGAAGGAAAAGGGAACAGAATAGAATAGAATGGAATAGAATATAGAATAGAATATAGAATAGAATTACAAAATGGAATAAGAATGGAATAAGAATGGAATAGAATAGAATAGAATAGAATGGAGTAGAAATAAGAATAGAATAGAATAGAATAGAATAGAATAGAATAGAATAGAATAGAATAGAATAGAATAGAATAGAATAGAATAGAGTGGAGTAGAAATAAGAATAGAATAGAATGGAGTGGAGTGGAGTAGAAATAAGAATAGAATAGAATAGAGTGGAGTGGAGTAGAAATAAGAATAGAATAGAATGGAATGGAATAGAATAGAATTAAGAATAGAGTGGAGTAGAGTAGAGTAGAGTAGAAATAAAAATAGAATAGAATACAATTAAGAATAGAGTAGAAATAAAAATAGAATAGAATAGAATTAGGAATAGAATAGAATAGAGTGGAGTAGAAATAAGAATAGAATAGAATGGAATGGAATGGAATAGAATTAAGAATAGAGTGGAGTAGAGTAGAGTAGAGTAGAAATAAAAATAGAATAGAATACAATTAAGAATAGAGTAGAAATAAAAATAGAATAGAATAGAATTAGGAATAGAATAGAATAGAGTGGAGTAGAAATAAAAATAGAATAGAATAATAGAATAGAGTAGAATTACAGAACAGACCAGAGTAGACTAGAGTAGAAATAAGAACAGAACAGAATAGAGTAGAGTAGAATAGAAATAAGAATGGAATGGAATGGAATAGAATAGAATAATAACGGAGATAAAGCAGGAATAGTTAAATTGATCCATTTATTCAAAGAGGAGAATATATTTAAGTATGTTTTTTACTTGGATATCACTTCTGGATTTTGTGCTTGTGATGGAAAAAAAATGAAATCTTGACTTTGGTTTTGTCGATTAGACATATCCTTATACAAATGGCTGGTTATATATTAAGATGTAAAAGCAAAAAGTTGAGGCTAGAGTGTTTTTTTATCTTGTACTATGCTAAAAGCAGTCAAAAGCCAACGCCTTTTCTTTCTTTTTTTCCTCTTGTGTACCTCACATTTTCTTTTGCCTTCCCCTAATCCCTTATTTCTATTTTTCTTTGTATTTTACATATTAAATGCATTTTTTTAAAAAACAGTTACAGATTCCCCCTCCAACTGCTCAGCTGATTTCCAGGGCTGAACGGGGCTCTTACCTCTGAGGCTGGCTTTCCAATTGGCACCAAATTATTGTCTTTTTCAGCTATGCTCTGCAGCTAAAGAGAAGAGAAAAGCCAGGAATGAGTTTTAGAAGGAAACACAAGATTTGCTGGGAGAGGGGGGAGAAAAGGATGACACACACACACACACACACACACCACACACACACACTCACCCAGGCCTGGTGCTGCTGCTCCTGTTGCTGCAGTTCGTTCTCATCCACGCAAGGCCGGTCCAAGTTGAACCACAGAGCCTCGGTGACGCGCGGGAAGAGGGAAGGGAAGAGGGTGGACATGGCTTCCCTGGGGGGGGGGTCAGAAAGAGGGGCTTGATGAGAGGCGAGACCCTCAAACAGGAGCAAAAAGCATTTTGGGGGGGCAGAAAGGGATCCCCCTGCAGATCCCGTGCCAATGAAGCCTCCTTGTGCTTTAATTGTGGAAGCCAGGAACTACAAATTGAGCATTGTTTCATTGCTTTAAATCTGTGTTTCTTAAGTTTGGTGGCTTTACCGTGGGTGGACTTCAACTCCCAGAATTCCCCAGCCAGCATAGTCCACCCACGGTAAAGCTGCCAAACTTGAAAAACACTATTTTTAATGGTCATTTTCTGGAGGAAAAAGAAGACGGGATAATAATAATAATAATAATAAAGTTGGAAGGGACCGTGGAGGTCATCTAGTCCAACCCCCGGCTCAGGCAGGAAACCCTATACCATTTCAGACAAGTGGCTGTCCAGTCTCTTCTTAAAACTGAATGGATGGATGGATGGATGGACCCAGCTACAGAGGCGGTGGAGAAGGTCCATTTGCTAAAAGGCGGCACTGATTTAATGGCAGGAATCGCTCCGTTCAAGGTTTCCTGCTTTTATTTCGTTGTGGCGGGAGGTAGCTTTATGGGAAAGGCTCTTTTTTTAAGGAAAAGCGCATTTCTTTGAAAGAAAAGCCTTTGCCTGCGAGATGGGACCCCCCCATCTCCGTCTCTCAGCCCAGCCCACCTCGCAGGAATGTTGGAGTGGGGGAAAAGAGGAGGAGGGAGGAGGATTATGGAGGTGAGCAGCCTGGAGTTACTTATAATTGTAATAAAGGAAGGATTTTTAAAAAAAAAAAACCTAATAAGCAAGTAAATGGATGAAATAGGCTCCATTTCATTAAAAAAAATCTAATAAGCAAGTAAATGGATGAATTAGGCTCCATTTCATTCAATGCTCTAATAATAATAATAATAATAAAAATAATAATAAATTTGGAAGGGACCGTGGAGGTCATCTAGTCCAACCCCCTACTCTTAATTTATCTACTTTGTCATTTTATACCTGATGGTTTTAAATGTGTTTTTTTTAATGTTGCTGTGCTGTAGCCGCCCAGAATCGCTTGATAGGGCAAAGAAATTTCATAATAAATAAAATAAATGGATTTCAACTTAATTTTCGAAACCAGCTTTCAACTCGGGGCTCCACAAGGGAGTTAAAGCGCCTCCAAGGAGCTCGAGGGTCCCTCCGGGCCGTCCAGGCGCCCCTTCAAGCTCCCCTCCCTTCATTTGCCCCGAAACAACAACCCTGCGAGGTAGGCCGGCCCCAAAGACAAATCACCCTGGCGCTTCCGGGATCCGAAGGCGGGCCTTCCGGTCGCTTCCCGCACTGGGCGTTCGCCGGCGCCGAGGGAGCCTCACCTGCTACCGGAGGAGGCTGAAAGCCGGGAGAAACGCGACCGGAAGTACTCCCGCCGCAACCCGGAAGCGATTTCTTTTAGGATGCTGGAGAACCATGGGAAAAAACAGAGCCGGAAGTTTTTTCGTCGCTCTAGGAAGCCTTTTGAAGCGGTACTTCCGGTCCCTGGTTTCAACGCGTAGAGCTACCACAAAGTTGATATGTCCTAGAGCGACACCCCAGCTCGCCATCACGTGTGCATTTCAAGCGCCGTCTCTCTTGGGATGTCTATCCCAGGCTTGCAAAGTAGGCACTGCGCGTGCGCACAAAGGGACGCTTGTCTGTCCATGCATCGCCCGGGCAGTGCACAGTGCGCCTGCGCAAGAAGCCACGTGCGTCTCCCAAGCAAAAGATTTGAAAGAGAAGAGAGAAAAGAAGAGATTTTGCAACCTGGCGCCCTCCGCCCGCCTGGCTCAGCAACCGTGAAGAAAAGTCATAAAATGCGGTAATACTCACTTAACAACTGTGTCGCTTAGCAACAAAAATTTGGGGCTTCATTGTGAAAAGTTGAGGACTACTTAGGAGAAATTTCCTGATAGTGAGAACAATTAACCAGTGGAACCACCTGCCTCCAGAAGCTGTGAATGCTCCAACACTGGAAGTTTTTAAGAAGAGACTGAACAGCCATTTGTCTGAAATGGCATAGGGTTTCCTGCCTGAGCAGGGGGTTGGACTAGATGACCTCCAAGGTCCCTTCCAACTCTATTATTATTATTGTTGTTGTTGTTGTTACCTATACTTGATCTCTCTGATTCTCTCTCAGAAGAAATTCAGATCTGAGTCAGCTTTTCCAAGAAAACACAGGACAACTGCCTGAAGCAGAGGTAGAATAGAATAGAGCTGGAAGGGACCTTGGAGGTCTTCTAGTCCAGCCCCCTGCTCAAGCAGGAAGTTTATTCAAAAGCAAAAAAAGAAAACAAAAAGGTGAAGTTTATTTGACAGCAAAACAGTAATCAAAGGTGGCTACAGGGGGAAAAAAGGCTGCTATTTTTTATAGAGAAATGCATCTTTTGTCACTAGAAACCTGCCTGAACCTGGCCCAAAATCTAGGGATTGNTGTCACCTTTGGTGAGTCAAGGATGATGGGCTTGAGTGGTGAAGGAAACCTGTTTGGGTTGTGAGGAATTTTCATATCTGGAAGGGATTTTTCTCCTCTTTAATTAAGTTGCTGGTGTTTGCCAACTTCTTATCTTAAGACACACTTCGTCATTCTCAGCCTAGATATCAAAATCAGCAGAAAATCTGTTGTGTTCTTTTGTTTTATTGTCTGTGGGTTCGCTGGCAGGTCAGGGACTGACTGGTTGGCAGGGGGCATGAAGGGCAGAGGGGGGATGGCATAGGCTCTGTCTGTCTAATCTGTCCATCATCTATCTACTGAATAAGTAGTTCTTGAGAATCACATATTTTTTCCTCAAAATTCACTTCTGGTTCTTCTCTTAGGAAGAATAACCTGCCCAGGTGTCGATTCCTATTTTTCTACACACTTAGAAAAACCTAGATGACCTCAGTCTATACTTTCTGATATAGAGTTTAGCTTTTTTGTCTGCAATTAAAGCTACATCATGGAATTGGGTATGTCTAGTTTAATGAGGAGAAGGACGAGGGGGGACATGATAACAGTATTCCAAGATCTCAGGGGCTGCCCCATAGAAGAGGAACTCCAAATCGCCTGAAGAAGGCAGGACAAGAAGCAACAGATGGAAACTAATCAAGGAGAGAAGCAATCTAGAACTAAGGAGAAACTTCCTGACAGTGAGAACAATTAGCCAGTGGAACAACCTGCCTCCAGAAGCAGTGAATACTCCAACACTGGAAGCTTTTAAGAAGAGACTGGACAGCCATTTGTCCGAAATGGTATAGGGTTACCTGCCTGAGCAGGGGGTTGGGCTTGATGACCTCCAAGGTCATTATTATTATTATTATTATTATTATTATTATTATTATTATTATTATTATTTCCTTATAAGTATCTTAAGAAGAATAATTTTATTAATATCTGCTAATGTCTGCTGAAAAATAGTCAAGTGTATTGATCAAGTTGAGCCCTTATGCCTACCGTGGAATTATATGTAACCAAAGCTGTGGGTTGGGTTTTTTTCATAACAGTCTGCTTTTGCAAACTTGCATATTTCTTTAGTTAGACCAGGGGTAGGCAACCTTGGCTCTTTTATGACTCATGGACTTCAACTCCCAGAATTCCTGAGCCAGCTGGCTGGGGAATTCTGGGAGTTGAAGTCCATGAGTCATAAAAGAGCCAAGGTTGCCTACCCCTGAGTTAGACTATGAAACGAATGCATGGGAATTAAGGAACTGTTATGTAGGTTCCATAAAGACATGTGTTATGACGGTAATATGGAAAAATGAGGTCAGAAGAAAGAACGAGGAACTGATTTAGCTATTGTTAGAATCTCCGAGGCCATGTGCTTGTGGTTTTAAGGTATAAAAGAGTGGCACTGAAAAGGGGTGGGCGCCATTTGATCACCAGCTGTCACTCTCTTGATTGCTTGCAGATCTGGTCCTCCTTGCAATGGGTTCTGGTATGGATGTATTTGTTTTCTGTTCTAAAATTCAATAAACCTCTAGGTCCTAAAACGGGTAGGCCACCTTGGCTCTTTTATGACTCGTGGACTTCAACTCCCAGAATTCCTGAGCCAGCATGGGGGAAACTTTGACCCCTTCATGACTCGTAGACTTCAACTCCCAGAATTCCTGAGCCAGCATAGGGGAACTATGGCCCCCTCATGACTCGTGGACTTCAACTCCCAGAATTCCTGAGCCAGCATGGGGAACTATGGCCCCTTCATGACTCATGGACTTCAACTCCCAGAATTCCTCAGCCAGCATGGGGGAAACTTTGGCCCCTTCATGACTCGTGGACTTCAACTCCCAGAATTCCTGAGCCAGCATGGCTCAGCTTGGAAACCTCTCCCTTTCCCCTCAGCATGGCTGGCTCAGGAATTCTGGGAGTTGAAGTCCACGAGTCATAAAAGAGCCAAGGTGGCCTACCCCTGTGTGCTGTCTTTTTATCTTTACCAAGTTTTTTCCCCTGGCAGTTTTCACCCACTTCATGCCAGAAAATCAGATATCTATCATTCCTTTTTCATTTGGTTTCCTTCCTTCTCTATTTCCTTCCTTCCTTTTTCCTTCCTTTTGTCTATTTTCCTCCTTCCTTTCTCTCCTTCCTTTCCTTCCCTCCCTCCCTCTCTCTTTCTCATTCTTGCTCTTTTTTTCTTTCCTATCTACCTACCTACCTACCTACCATCTTTGGGACACATCCTATGAAGACAGAACCTGCCTCCAGAAGTTGTGAATGCTCCATCACTGGAGGTTTTTAAGAAGAGGCTGGACAGTCACTTGTCTGAAATGGTACAGATTCTCCTGCTTGAGCAAGGGGCTGGTCTAGATGACCTCCAAGGTCCCTTCTAGCTCTATTCTATTCTAGATGGGGCCCATAGCTATTGATCTCTGTCGTCCATCATAGCTTTAATCAGTCAAAGCTTTCACACAACACTCGCATAACACACACTGAAAAAAAAACTGGGCTTTCTTATTTCTGTGGGCCTGAATATTTCTCAGCAAGGAGTTTATCAGAGTAAGATTGAAATTTGCTATATCCTGATTTAATCCTGGTTTAATGAATAAACCATGGCTGGCTGGATGATCAAACCACAACTTAACTATAAGCAGTGCTTTTCAAACCACTCTGACTGGGTAAATTCAACAAACTTAGTCTACACACCAAACAAACTGAATTTCACCTTACAAATTGAACAAATTACTGAGTTAATTAGTGTTGGTTTTTTTTGCTGAATTAACTTTTTTGGATTTGCCCAAGAGGCAAATGTGTGTTTGCATGATACGATAAACAACAAAAAGGAAACTGAGGTTAAAAAGGAGGAAGCCAAGCCCTTTGGGTGACTCCTTTGCTGGGGGTTCCACTATCCCAGGGGTAGGCAACCTTGGCCCCTTCATGACTCGTGGACTTCAACTCCCAGAATTCCTCAGCTAGCATGGGGGAACTATGGCCCCTTCATGACTCGTGGACTTCAACTCCCAGAATTCCTGAGCCAGCATGGGGGAAACTTTGGCCCCTTCCTGACTTTTGGACTTCAACTCCCAGAATTCCTGAGCCAGCATGGGGGAAACTATGGCCCCTTCATGACTGGTGGACTTCAACTCCCAGAATTCCTGAGTCAGCATGGGGGAACTTTGGCCCCTTCATGACTGGTGGACTTCAATTCCCAGAATTCCTCAGCCAGCATGGGGAAAACTTTGGCCCCTTCATGACTCGTGGACTTCAACTCCCAGAATTCCTCAGCCAGCATGGGGGAACTATGGCCCCTTCATGACTCGTGGACTTCAAC